TGACTTTACACTAGGACGTGCTGAGTATCGGTGACCTTGGCGTTGCCGCAGATACGCTTCTTAAGACTTGGTCAGAATGCCGCTGGCAGGCAGTGCCGCCGTTCGATGCTTCCTACGAAACGCCAATCGCGGTCGTGCTGTACCCGCGAGAGTGCCACATATAGTGCTGCACGCACGAAGGGAACGTCCATCCATATGGTGATGTGGGGCAACGTCGCACCTTGGATTTTGTGCAAGGTAGTGCTGTATCCCAAGCGCAAAGGAAAAGCGGTGGTGGTGAGACAGGTGCCGTCTTGCAAGCTGCACTCCTGTGCGATGGGGTGAATTAGGAGCACTTTTCCTTCGTCCGTCTTCACCTGCACTCCGCTGTTCCTCATACGTTCCACGACTGCACCCATGCCGTTCACGAAGCCGTTCTCTTTGTCCGTGTTTCTGGTGATGGTCACTCGCATTCCTTCGTAGACCGGCATCCGGAATGGCTGCGCATCCACTTGTACGTTGCCTCGGAAGTTACCGAAGTTCTCCTGCGGATCGCATGGTATGCGCCCCAGGATTTCTGCATCGGAAAACAGCGCACGCACTGCGTGCTGGTTCACTTTGGCTGTTCCTCGTCGCGAGATGGTGACGAAGGTGGTGCTGGGTGTCTCTTTCAGAACCATGGCCACGTCGTCGGAATCCAGGGTGTTGCCGCGAGCGGATCTGGTCCGAAGGTTGGCGCGATGACCTCTGAGGATCTTTTTCAACTGTCTTCCGTCTGGGATTGCACTTCGCAGGAGTTGCAGCTTCCATTTCAAGCGATCGCATTTGCACCGTCTCATCTCGTGCAGCGTCGAAACATTCATATGCGGCCACCTGGCGCTGTCCCTTGCCGTGGTTCCATCTGCTCCCGTCAGCTGGCAGAAGTCCCCCACGAACACGAGAGCCGGGCGCCGATCGGCGGCATCCCAGAGTCGGAGCAGTCGGTCGAAAATCCAGACGGGCAACTGCCCGATCTCGTCGATCACGATGAGGTCGTACATTTTCATGATGTCTGCGGTTGCGAGCTCGTCTTTGTGCAATGCGAACATCCCGTGCACTGTGTCTATGTCCAAGTCGGGGTGGCGAGCTCTGTACCGAGTTGCCAGCATGCCTGTTGGACAGGCGACGCCGACGTGAGCACCGGTGTTGACGGCCTCGTCCAGGGCTATTTCCACGGCCGTGCTCTTCCCGCTGCCGGCCGGTCCCAACACGACCGTCGCCGCATTGGCGGATCCCTCTCGGTCCAGCCAGGCGTTCCAAGAGTCGATGTTGTGGTCATCCGGCCACTTTGCCAGCAGCGCGTGTCGAACTCTTCGGCGGATGATGTTTATGACGTTCATCTGCTCCGGCGCCACATGGATTGTGCTGCTTGCTACTCGTGCGACCCCTCCCAACGCAGGCGCCGGGGTTCTTTCCACCGTCATTTCTCCGGACAGGTACGCGTCGATCAGCTCGATGCGAGCGGCCAACATGGCCAGTGTGTTCTGGATGTACGTTTCGCTACGAGCCTCCTTCTCTAGCTCGGATCGAATCCTTTGAGGGTCTCGCCAGAAGCGTCGGCGATGCAGCACGCAGAGGCCCAGATACTTAAGGTTCTCGGGCAGCTTGTGCGCCTGTGGATGCCAGAGATCGTCGACATTGCGGAACGGCACGTTCAGCAGCAGCCATTGGCCGTAGTGCCGATCGTTGGTGTGAGCGTACATCACGTTGGCGACCAGCGTCTTGCCGTCTGCCGGGTGCACGTTGATCCAGTCGTTGAGGGGCATGCCGATCTTGCGGTGGCTATGCATGCGACGGTACCTTTGCGAAATCTGGCCGTTGTTGCCCGACTTTCGCAGAAACTCGAGGAGGCTCATGTTGTCGCGTCTCCAGGTACTCGCCATGTACTTCTGCACGAGCTGCGGCATCTCTTTCTGCCAAGGAACGGGCACGACGAACTTCCGGACGGTGGCGGGGCAAAGGAATTGCGGGTGTTGCTGCATGGCGAGTTGCAGGACCATCTCTGGTTGTAAGGGATGGTAGTCTGCTAACACACGGCGCGCCAAAGAGAAGTCGCTGGCCTCGTTGTTGAGCAATTCGGCCGCGAAGGAGCTGCTGAACTTCGGTAGATAGCCTAGGTGCGCGAAGTTTGCCAGACGACCGAACGTCTTATTTCGCGATTCTTGCTGTCGCTGTTTAGAACTGCAGCTAAGACACTCGCGCAGTACTTCAGAATCATGGCCCTTCCATCTGAAGCCTGCACGTCCACGTGGCAGCGAAGAGCAGCCAGGATGTCTGGGAGATAGGCCCTGCAGTTCCTCTCGAAAGCCTCGCGAGGGTGGTGCAGTCGCAGTCGCTGCTCTTCCTCGGTAACTTCTGTGGGCTCCTCGCGAAGAGGCCAGCCGCTCGAGGTGTAGTCGAGCTGGGAGCCAACCACTAGGTCGCGCAGTTCCGGTTCGGCTTCGCCCGGCACATCCGCGCGGATCTTGGAGGACAGGTCCATGGCCTGCATGTTCGACAGCCATAACAGGATGTGCACGTGCACGGTCCCGCGGCCGTGATAGAACTGCCCGTGCCGATACACGTGGCGCTTGCGCTTGCC